CCGGCGGGAGGCCGGCGGAAGTGAGCCGGCGGCGGGTCCGCTGGCGGAAGCCGGCGGGAGCAAAGCAGGCGCCTCCCCCCGACAGGTGCCACCATTTTTGGATTCAGGGTTTCCGGAACCAGCCACGCAGGCGCTGGCCGAACCATGTCGGGGGCGGCCAACGGGGGGTATGTGGATGGCATGGCCGGGTCCACGATGATCTTCTCGGATGTAGTGGCCCCTGTTCTTGTTAATCGCTTCGCTCATTCCGCCGGCCCTGGCGCGCTATTTGGGGCCTCTTGGGGCCGTCTTGGGGGCTTCTTGGGGGCTTCTTGGGAGCGTCTTGGGGCCCCTTGGCGGCGTATTGGGCTCCCCTGGGGCCTCTTGGGGGGCTCTTGGGGGCCCCTTGGGGCGAGGGGGGGTAGTCGTTGGCAGCCCCCCCCTCGGAGGCCACGATCCTCGTGAGAGGTGGCGGAAAATAGCCCCCCCCCGGGGATCGCCCGGGGGTCAGCCGGGGATCGGGCGGGGTACTTTTCGTCCGGGGCCCCCCAGGGGCCGCCCCGCGTGTGCGAAGTAGAAATATCGTTAAGTAGTTACCGGAGATCTTAGCACTCCTCTGGCCCGTTGGGCCGGCGAATTGCGAAGGCCTTACAGCAGGTGCCGCCGACCATGAACGATGACGACGACGACGACGACGCTGACACTCTGGAGCCGAAAACTTCTCCCAGGGAGGGGTGCCCCCTTCCGTGGGGGGTGTCAGAACCCCCAGGACCCCGCACGCCGACACACACGCCCCGAGACCCTCCCCAGGGGACCCCCCCCTAGCTGGGGAGCGATCAAAGTGAAGGGGCTTCCCTTCGACCCGGTTGCGACGTTGCTCGATTTCTTTCTGGTTGGAACGCGTGAGTTTCAATACGTCCCCTCGTCCCCCCCTCGCCCGTGCACGTGCAGTGGGCAGTGGTCTGCGACCCCCCCCCTCTTGGACGCCTCCCTCCTTGGCCGCCCCCGGACATCGGTCGGCTTCCCTCGACGCAGGGATTTTTTGGGCTGGCGTTGGGGGGGAGCGCGCCGGTCTCGGCCACATGGTGGGGCCACGGAGAGGCCGAGCCGCACACCGTCGCGGTCCCCGCGCCCGCCTTCTGCGGCCGCCACCGACGTCGAGCGCGTCGCGCGAAGTCTCGCGCGCGCGTGAAGGCCTCCACCGCTTCCCTCTGCCACTCCCGTCGGCCCCCCCCCCTGACACCTGAAGCTCCTCCGCGCTGGTCTCCACTCATCAGAGGAGGCCGTCCGGGGCCTCATGGACGGGGGCGCCGACCTGCTCTTCGTAGACCAGGCTGCCAGCGCTCTCGGCGCCAAGGCCGCCGTCGCAGCCGCCGACGCATGTGCCGCGAGCTCAGGGAGCCCCGACCTGGTCGGCCGGGTCCCAGTCTGTCGGGCCAGTCCCAGCCAAGACGTCGACCGAGCGGGACTAGGGTGGTCGGTCGGCCCATGATCGGCCGGGGTCTCCGCGCTTTTGGGGCGGGCCATGCACCAGAGGGAAGGAGGGAGGAGGAGGGACGAGGAGGGAGCAGGGCGGACCTGGAGGAGGGGTGGCCGAGGGGGGTGGGAGGAGGGAGGCAGCCACTGAAGACCAGACCGCCGTGGGTCCGGCCGGATTCGAGGGGTGCACCCGAGGCCCTCAGGCTGAAGAGGCAGCGGCTCCCCGTGATCGTCTGCGCCTCCACCGGGGACGGCGGGGCGCTGCCCTCGGGCGGCTCGCTCGCCGCCTTTGCTGTTGCGCTCAGGCACGCGCGGCCCCTGGCGCTCGGCGCGGCGGGTGCGCCGGGGCACCTCGAGGCGCTGCCGGACGTCGCGCGCGGCTGGTGCGCGGCGGTGTTGGGCAGCGCTGCCATGGCTGCGGACGCCTCCGCGCTGGCGGCCAGAGGTCTGTTGAACTTTGTCGGCGGGGGCGCGGACACCTCGGCCGCAGATCTCGCTGCGCTGGTGGGAGCGCTGCGCACCGCGCCGCCGCGGAAGCCGCAGGCCCCTGCCGAGTCCAGCCTGCAGCTGTCTGGCCTGACGGGGGGCCCGACGCCGTGCGACGCGGATTTCCGAGTCATCGGCCAGCAGTGTGCGTCTATGGGCAGCGCCAAGTTCAAGGCGCTCGTCGACACCCTCAAGACCTCACTCTCTGGCGCCCTTTCGGGGGCCAGTTTCGGGTCTGCCGTCGACTTGTGCGCCCAGCAGGCGGACCGTGGTGCCGACATCATCGACGTCAACCTCGATGCGGACGTCGAGGACCCGTCCCTTGCCGCCAAGGGTGCCCTGATGGCCAAATTTGTCTCCGCGTGCTCGAGCCACCCAAGTCTCCGCGGCTTGCCACTGTCGATCACCTCCTCCAATTTAGAGGTGATCCTAGCGGGTCTGCAGAGCGCCCCCGGGAAGTGTATCGCGAACGGGCTTTCCTTGCTGTCTGGAGAAGAGAAGTTCGTCTTGGCGGCCAGAGAGTGCCAGAGGCATGGCGCGGCCGTTGTCGTCTTCTCGATCGACGAGGGGGGTCTCCCGGAGAGCCGCGAAGGCAGGGTCCGCGCCTGCCAGCGCAGCTATCATCTCCTGCGCTCGAGGCTGGGGTTTCCCGCAGAGGACATCATCTTCGACTGCTGCCTGGGCGCCACCACCGCGCTGGATATCGGCAAGGCGTCGGCCGACTTCATCAGCGCAGTGGGAGAGGTGAAGAGCACGTGCCCGGGCGTGTCGTGCGTTGCGGGCCTGGGCAACTTGTCGTTGCCGTTCCGTGGTCTCAGCATGATACGTGACGCGATTCACGCCGTGTTTTTGCGGCAAGCTATCCCCAGAGGGGTCAACCTGGCATTCGCGGAGCCGGGATGTCTGCCTCGGTGCGCAGACATCGACCCAGAGGTGCGAACGCTCTGCGAGGAGGTGGTGCTCAACAGATCCGCCGACGGCAAGCACGCGGAGCGCCTGCTGGCCTACGTCAACGTCCACAGCGGCACCACGGTGCGCCTGGCCCTGACGAGCAGCTCTCCGCCGGCCTCCGCGGGACTTCTGCCGCGGGCCCCGAGCCAGCCCGCGGCGGCGCTCCTGGCGCGGCGGGGGCGCTCCACGCCTGCCGAGCAGAAGGCCCGGGGCGGCCAGAGCCGCGGGGATTCAACCAGTGGCGAAGCGTCTTGGCTCGCCTGTAGCCCTACCAAACAATGTTCTAAGAGCCTTTCGTGGTTTGCACGAAATGTTCTTAGAACATTTCTGGTGGAGTCTGTCTTGTTTTGTCACATCGGGTGTATGTTCTAAGAACCGTGTTTTCGTTCTTAGAACATTCTTGGGTTCTAAGAAGATCTCGTGGTAGGACTAGAGGAATGCCGGGACGGTCGGTCCCTGCTCAAGGGACGGCGAGACCCGCGCCCTCCCTGAGGGAGGGCAGAGGGAAACAATGAGTGAGCACCCCCCTGCCCCCCAAACTCAAAGTTGGCCCGCGCGAGGGAGACTGCGGTCGGGGTGCAACTCCTCAGACCCACCGCCAACTCTGAGCATTGGGGGGAGGGGGAGGCGTTCACGGCTGAATGTGGCATGAGTGTTCGCGCTATTTTTTTCCGAGGCCTGGAGGATGGGGATGGTGAGGGGGGATGAGGTGGACCTTAGGCCACCCAGATGGGGTCCGAGTAGATGGCCTCGGGGGATCGCGCTGCTTTGCTGATGCATCGGCGATGCGGCTCGACGTGGAGCCCGAGTTTCCCCTCGCCGATACATCGCCGACGTCGCCGATGCATCACGGATGTATCGCCGATGCATCGCCGATGCACCGGCGATGTTGCGCGATCCTCCGACCCCATCTATCAGGGGCCCATTTAGGAGGCCTCCAGTAGAGGAGTTCGAATCTCACCGTTCTCGTGGTTTGTGGGCTGTCCTGAGAAGGCGCACCTGCTCTCCTTGTGCCCGCAAGCTGCCCGCTCCACTGGGCGGGTGGCGCGGGCGCCGCGGGGCAGCTGCTGGCTGGTGGGCCAGAGGTGCAACGCAGGTGGCTCGGCGACCCTCCGGGTGCTCGCGGAGGCGTGCCAGGCGACGAGTGGCGCGCGCAAGTGGGAGCCCGTGCTCGAGCTGTGCGCGCAGCAGCTCGAGAGGGGCGCCGACGCCCTCGACCTGAACTTCGACGGGTGCCCGCTGGAGGGGCCGGCCGCCATGGGCGAGTTCGTCCGCCTGTGTGTCCAGGACCCGAGGCTAGCGAGCGCGCCCCTCGTGATCAGCTCAGGCTCGTGGCCCGTCATCGAGGAGGGGCTGAAGCACGCGCAGGGCAAGGGCATCGCGAACGCGCTGTCGCTGGCTTCTGGGGAGCAGGAGTTCCTGCAGATGGCGAGCACGTGCAAGAGGTACGGGGCCGCAGTCGTGGTCCTGCCGGTGGAGCGGCAGGAGCGCGCCGCGTCGCCCGAGGACAGGGTGCGCGCCTGCCGCAGGAGCTTCGCGCTCCTGCGGGAGCGCCTCGGCTTCCCCGCGGAGGACATCATCTTCGACTGCGGGCTGCTCCCCCTGAGGGACGCCGAGGACGCCTCGCAGATCAGGGGCTGCCTCGACGCGATGGAGGAGCTGAGGACCGCGTGCCCAGCCGTGTCCTTCGTGGCGGGCGTGGGCAACCTGTCCCTGCCCTTCCGCGGCGTGGGAATGCTCCGGGACGCGCTGCACAGCGTCTTCCTGCACCACGCGGTGCCGCGCGGCCTCAACATGGCGATCGTCGACGCCGGTCGCCTGCCGCGCCACGGCGACATCGAGGCCCCCACCCTGCAGCTGTGCGAGGAGGCGGTGCTCGGCCAGCGGGCGCCCGCCAGGCTCTTCGCCCTCGCGGAGTCCCTGGCCCCGCCGGCCCCGGAGCAGCAGCCCGCCGCGGGCACCGAAGCGGCCGCTCGGGCGGAGGACCGCCATAGAGAGCCTCGTGGCGCCCAGCCCCGGCGAGGGAGGGTTTTGCGGGGGGTCGGTCTCCGGAGAGGAAATGGTACGGACACCGCTCGCACTTCTGGGCCTCCTGGGGGGCCCTCGTCGCCACCTCTGGATCCGCCTCGAACTCGTGGTCGGACCGCTCCCCAGGAGAACTCTGAGGAGCAGCGGCATCGGTCCCTCCTCCCGGTTTCCCCGCGGTCGTTCGGGCGCGGCAGTGCAGCCCGCCAGCTCGCCGAAGCCAGCGGGCGGCTCTTGCTTGCTCTCGTGCCGAGGCGAGAGAGGGGTGGGCGGCCCTGCCCGCCTCCCCTGAAGCCAGGGGAGGGGGGGAGGAGGAGGAGGAGGGCTGGGGGGGGCCTGGCCTCGGGCGTTGCCAGAAGTGCCCCTGGCCCAAGGTGCCCCCAGCTTGTCGCTCCGTTTCGGAGCACCTCTGGGCCCTGGAGAGGAGCCCTGGAGGCCTCGTGAGGGGTGCCCCGGGCCTCGTGGAGGGGTGCCCTGGAGGCCCAAGGGCCCTCGGGGCCTCGTGGAGGGGTACCCTGGAGGCCGCCGCCCGGGCCACCCTGAGAATCCTGGGGCACCTTTGGGCCAGGGGTACTTCTGGCTTCACCCGATGCTTGGGCGTGGCTGGCAGGAGCAGCACGGCGCCGAGGAGGGAGCCTGCGCCAGGCCCGCCCAGCCCTGCGGCAGGGTCGCGCGGCGCTTCCGCCCCGGGACGGCGGTCACCGACCTCGTCCAGGCCACGGGCACCCTCGACGGGTCCATCTTCGGCCTCTTCGGCAGCAAGGCCCATGCGGCCCTGAGGCTCACCACCCACCAAACCACCCCAACCCAACCCGAAGGCTCAAATTTACCCTCGATTTCCAGTGGGGGAGGGGTCGGGAAACATCGAAAAAACACATGTGGAACCCTTGCCCCCCCCAACCCGAAATGGTTGGGGTGGTCTGGTAGGTAGTCAGAGGCTTCACAGCTACGCACATGGCAGCCGCCTCAACCGCGTGGTCTACTTCTCCTCCATCTCCGTGTGGATGGGCCAGGGCGGGTCGGGGCCGACCGTGGGCGCGAGCGCGATCCTGGATCTCCGGGCCCCCACCCAAGGCCGACACAGAGCCGGCACTCCCTTCCCTCCAGGGCGAGGAGGGGGGAGGGCAGGGGAGGGCCAGGGGGGGCATGGGGGAGGGCGGGCGAGAGGGGAGTGGAGGGGAAAGAACAGGGGGGAAAGACAAGCTAGGTGCGCTCGCGCCATGTTTGACATGCTATCCCTTCCTCCCATCCCTTCCCATTGCGCTGATTTGTCCCAGCGGTCGCGACTCCTCCTTCTCTTTTCTCCCCCCCTCTTCCTGCCTCCTCCTGCGCTCATGGGTGGCTGCGAACTGTGCAACTGGCGCCACTTTCTTGGGCTCCTGGGAGGCACGGCGGAGTAGCGGAGCAGCCGAGACCTCGCAGCTCCCTGGGTGGCTGCAAACTGCGCAACTGGCGCCACTTTCGCGGGCTCCCGGGAGGCAGCTTTGCCTGTGTATTTTGTGTTTGCCTTTTTTCGTTCGTTTTTTTTTTTTTTATTTTTTTTTTTTTCTTATTCTTTTGTATCCGTTTATCACTTTTTTTGTTTTTTTTTTTTTTTTTTTTTTTTTTTTTTTGTTTTTTTTTTTTTTTGTCTTTTTTTTTTTTTTTTTTTTTTTTTTTTTTTTTTTTGTGTTTGCCTCGCGCTCACTAGTCCAGAACACTGTCGTTGCCGCCGCTGTCGTCTTTGTCGTCGTCGCCGTCGTCGTCGCCGCCGCTGACGCTGTCGTCGTCGTCGTCGTCGCCGTCGTCGTCGTCGTCGATGTGGTGGTGGTCGTCGTCGTCGTCGATGTGGTCGTCGCAGTCGTTGTCGGTATTGTCGTCGTCGTTTGCCAGCAGCTGGGGAATGGCGAGGTTTCTGCTTCCCGAACGGAACGACCGCTCCCCTGCATTGGGGAGCTGGGTCTCCCTGGTTTGGAGGGGTGCTTGTTTTTGTATGTGGATCTCTCGGGTGGGGAGGTTGTGAGGGAGACCCTGCCCAATATTTTCAAGGCAAGCGCCCGTGAAACGCGTTCTTTCGGAGAAGTGGCATTGGTGGTGGGGTGTGTGCGTGGCGTTCGCTGAAGAGCGAAAGGAGGTGCCGTTGGGGCCCGTGTAGTGGAACGGCACGGGACACGATACAGACATGGTATTCCGATACCAGTCGCGGTCCGAAGAGGCCTTTTTTGAGTGGGAACCTTGGTATTGATGATTCTCTTGAAGTTGGACGTATCCCAGAAGTCGTGGGACTGGTGAAGCGCGAAGGGCACGAAACCAGACAGATAACAGGGTATTTGCATAGCCCGCGCGGTCTGACGCAGCTTTCCTGGAGTAGGAAATGCGGTGCTGGTGGGACTTGTGGAGGTGACATGGCAAGGTGGTATTCTCTGGTATTCGGTTCACCGAAACTAGTGCAGTGGGAAGTGCACGCAGGAGGAGGAGGGACTCGTGCAGAGGGAAGGGCATGCAGGAGGGCCACGTGGGGGCAAGAGAAGAAGGGGGAGTGGAGGATGGCCCGAGAAAACCAGAGCCCACGACCCAGTCTGTGGGGGAAGAGTCCTCTCTGGGGCGGGGGTGGGCGGAGGGCAGGATGAGCGGTTGGCCCCCAAAGACCCACAGGACGGGCTCGCGCTCTGGCAGAGGCAGCAGCAGCTCGGCACCTCGGCCTCCACCGTGCTCTGGGGCGCCATCGGCCAGATCGGGCTCCGGCTCGCCGTCTACGGCGACAGGGACGTCATGCCCCCGAGACGACATCGGAGGGGGAAGGAGGAGCGGGGGAGGGAGGAGGAGGAGGGCGGGAGGGAGTAGGAGGTGGAAGGGGGGAGGAGGGGGGGGAGGAGGCAAGCCAGGTGCGCTCGCGTCATATCTGACGTCCTACCCCTCCCTCCCATTCTTTACCATGGCGTAGATCTCCCTCCCATTCTTTACAATCGGATGTCGCAACACGGCATAGCGTTACATGGCATATCATGGTGTTGAAGATCAACGCGTAGAGGACGAGATTGATGACAATGATGGCGACGACGTGGACGACTCGCAGGCGGTGGAAGGGGAGGAGGAGGCGCAAAAATACGACAATTTAACAGAAAGCATGAGAGAAAGGGGTGGGGATCGCGGAGCGCGGAGGAGAAGTGGAGGAGGAGGGAAGGAGGAGGAGGACCAGGAGGTGGAGGTGGAGGAGGAGGAGGACCAGTGTAAACCCAAGAGTCATCAACGATGTTGGAATGAACCCTTCCTCCAAGCTCCCTCTTCATAAGTCTCTATAACGGTTCATTTCCATTGCTGCCTCGTTGGAAGACAACCGTTTGAAGACCTTGAAGCATGCCAAAACATTGTGCTCGGGCTTTCCACGCCACGGATCAACCTGACTCTTGCGTCCTGACGATCTGCAATCGTGCCAGAACGTCTTTTTTTGGATTTCAACACCGCGAATCAACATAACTGTTGCACCGGCATAGTCCTGAGTCTTTCCAAAACACAATGTCTGGTACGTTGATCATGGGAATCCGTGAAACCCTTGCAGTTTTCTGGAACAACTGTGCGCGGCGCTGAGGCCTGAGCCACATTGTGAAGACCATCCGCCCTCAATCCGTGAAGATCTTCTTGCAGATTTTTTAACGGATGTGCGCGGCGCTGAGGCCTGAGCCACATTTTGAAAACCACCCGCCCTCAATCCGTGAAACTCTTGCAAAATTTTAAAAGCGAATGTGCGCGGCGCTGAGGCGAGAGCCACATTTCGAAAACCACCCGCCCTCAATCCGTGAAGTTTTCAAACGAATGTGCGCGGCGCTGAGGCGAGAGCCACATTTTGAAAACGACCTGCCCTCAGTCCGTGAAATTCTTCTTAACATTTTTGAAGCTTCAGAGTCAGAGTGATGAAGTCTCAGGCGAAAAGCCCAGCCCGCCCTAAAAACTGGCCTCGGGGTGCGTCAGGGAGAAGTTATTTATAAGGGAAAGGAATGGAGGAGGAGGTGAGCAGGAGGATGAGGTGGAGGGAAGATGCGGCGGAGGAGGACGATGGCGAGATGGAGGAGGATGAACGGGAAGAACCGGTAAAGAGAAGCGGCGTGAGGATGGGGATAATTATGAAGTTGCGAAGATGGAGGAGAATTTGGCCGACGTGGAGTAGGCAGGTATCGCAGAGACGGAGGAGTCAGAAGAGGAGACGGAGAAGGATGAGCAGACGGAGGAGGAGGAGGAGGAGGAGGAGGAGAAGCAGCAGCAGCAGCAGCAGGAGCAGGAGAAGGAGAAGCAGGAGAAGGGAAAAGCACAGGAAGGAGGGGGACGAGGGGGCTGAGGATGGGAAGGAGGAGGGATCCAGGGTCAGCGTCGGGACTCGGACGGGCCGATGACTCCGCGATCGAAGCGGATCGGGGCGGTGGGGTTGCT